GACACACCTGCTCTCAGACACGCACGTCCGGCCTGCCGCGCGGGGAGAGGGGAGCCGGCCGCGTCTGCCCCGTGAGCCTGCGCGGCAGGTGTGGGTGCTCAGGAGGTGCCCACGGGGTGTGTCCCAGGTGTCGCCTGCCTGGTTGGGTCGCACTGAGAGTCTGATGCCCTGTCCCTCCTGGGCTGCAGGAGCATGGACATGGGGGAAAGCGCCTGGCCCTGGGGTCCCAGGTAGGGCAGGGTCCCGTCCTGCCATGGCTTCCCCTTGAGTCGTCCTGGGCCTCCTTTGTGTTATGGACAAGGACAGACGGGGACAGGCTGGCTTTCTAAAGTCCTCGTGTCAAGGCCGACCCTGGGGGTTGGGAGACTCGGTCTCCGTCCCGTGGAACGGGCTGCTGGGTCACAGCCGGCTCTGCGCGCAGCCCGTTCCCGGGCCCGGGGTGCCAGGAGCCCGCCCCCCGCACACATGGCGCTGGCACTGCACTCGCAGGATGCTGAGGGGAAAGCCGCACGTGAGTCAGCCTGCGAAGGCAGCGGGTGGGGTGCTCGGTTTCCCTTTTGCAGTCGGCGTGAGCTCTGGTGTACGCTGTCCCTGCTGCGGGGGTGGAGACATGGCCTGGGCCCGGCCCCTGCCTCGCTCTGACCGTCTTCTCTCCTCCCTGCAGCTCCATGTCCACCCCCTGGCCGGGCTGCTCCCTCGGAAGCCATGCGTGGATACTTATAGCCATGTTCCAGCTCGCCGTGGATTTCCCCGCCTGCGAGTCCCTGGGCCCCGGCCCCGAGTTCCGGCTCCTGCCGCGCCCGTCGCCCCGGCCGCCCCGGTTGTGGAGTTTTAAGAGTGGACAGCCAGCGCGGGCCCCGGCCCCCGTGTGGAGCCCCCGGCCGCCCCGAGTGGAGCGGATTCACGGGCAGATGCAGACTCCGAGGGCCAAGCGGGCCCACAGGCCCAGGGACCAGGTGGCCGCGCTGGTGCCCAAAGCGGGGCTCTCCAAGCCCCCAGCTGCAGCCAAATCCAGCCCCTCCCTGGCCTCCCCCTCCTCGTCCTCGCCCCCCGTGGCCGGTGGGGCCACGGAACAGCAGGCCCTGCTGAGGAGGGGGAGGAGGCACCTGCAGGGGGACGGTCTCGGCGGCTTCGACTTCAGAGGCGGCCGGCCCACGACGGAGGCCGAGTTCATCGCCTGGGGGCCCACGGGGGACGAGGAGGGCCTGGAGTCCAACACCTTTCCGGGCGTTTACGGCCCCACCACGGTCTCCGTCTTACAGACGCGGAAGACAACCGTGGCCGCCACCACCACCACCACCACGGCCACCCCAACGACGCTGCAGACTAAGGGGCTCACCGAGTCCCTGGACCCCCGGAGAAGGATCCCGGTCGGGGCTAGCACAACAGAGCCTTCCACCAGTCCCAGCGGCGATGGGCAGAGCGTCAAGCCCCCCCGGATCCTGGGGGAGACCTCAGGTACGGCCACCTCTTTTCTGGTGGGAGTCTGCTTGGGGTTGGGGGCGGGGGGCCTGGCTGGGGGATGCCGAGATGCTCCGGGGGCGACACTGCATATGGAAGCTCGGAGCGAGGCGGGCGTTATGTGTGCGTGGACTTGCACGTGCATGCGTGCGTTGTGCTGGCAAGCACAGGCTGTGCCCGGGGCAGGGAGAGCTTCCCTTGGCGTCCACGTAGAAGTGGCGGGCGCTGTACCCACCACTGGGGACCGGCCGAGCCCCCCGGGCACAGGGCTACGTCTTCCAGCGCTGCAGAACATCGCCTGCCGGGGCGGCCCAGGAGCAAGATGTGGGCAGGTCTCATGGTGGAGATGAGAGGCCATGGGGGGTGGGGGGCGGGGACGTGGGGGGGAGGGGTCACCAAAGCCCTCGGAGGTGTGGGCCCTCTGCGGGGTTGGTTCCTGCCAGCTTGGCCGTGGTTCGGGTTTAGGAATGGCCTTAAACGGCAGGGAAGGCCGAGGCTGCGTAAATGGAGGCTCTTCCGGTGGTGGTAACTGAAGCTTCACTTTGCACTCAGTGACTCAGGTGGCAGAGTTCTGGTCCCTGGGGCCGGGGTAGGAGGGTGTCTGGAGGCAGGAGAGTCCTCTGCCGCTGTATTCCAGCTATGTGTGGACAGACACAGCTCTTTGGCTTT